CCAGGGGGTGGCCCAGCATGGAAGGGAGCCAATCAGAGGGGGGATTTTTCCTCCCAGACAGGGCTACAATCCTCCAGAGGGCTGGAGTTCCTCCATTACCGTTGGACTGGCTCCAGCCCTGGCCACAACCACCCCTCTGGAAGAAAGGGCGAGACCCGGCCCCGCCCCGGGGGCTCTGCACAGGACCATGGGGACACGGCTGGGCGGAACCACACGGCCAAGGAAGAAATTGAAAGGGAAGCCTGGGGAAGGAGGGAGGGGCCACTTACTGCAGCTTCTGCCTCCTGCTTCTTCTGCAGCACGTCACTGGCTGAGCTTTCCCTTTGTTTCTCCAGCTCTCTGCCACGAGGAAGTGGGGCAACAAGTTCATCACAGACATTCAGTGCGAGGACGCACTGCCCACACCCCCGACTGGCCCCAGACCTCACTGGGTCAGGATGGCCTCACGACCTTGGCTGGAGATTCTTTACCGTGGTCCCGTCAGGCCTCCCCACTTGAGCCCCCACTAGAGCAACTGTACTGCCGAGAATGCCCCTAGCCCTGCCAGCCAAGCCCAGCAACACGTGACCCCCGACTCACTTCTCCTTTTGTGCCCTGAGGTAGGGTTTGATGATTAGCCTGTGCATGGCGAAGTAGACAATGAGGGGTCCCACGGTGGCGTAGAACACCGCGCTGGGGAGCAGCTGATCCGTCAGATGGACAGGGAAGAAGTAGGTCTGGCTGGCCCGGTTCAGCCTAACACAAAGAACAAGGCAACTTATCAGAGTGGTTTGGGATTCCAAAGCCCTGTGCAGGACACATCGCGTGCCAGCCAGCGGCCTCGGCTCCCACGCCGCAGCCACCCCCACGGGCAGGGGACAGGCTCAACTCTGAACCCACAATGAAGCCTCGACCAGAACAGCAGTGTGGAGGCTGCTGAAGCCTGGCAGAGCCCTTACTAAGGAGCCAGGCGTCTGCTTGAGATACTTGGTTGGAACGGCAATAACGCGCTAGGGCCTAAAAAAAAATCTTCAGGCCCAATCACCCCTTCCCCAGGGAAATCAGGAGCAGCTGCTGCCTCTGAAAGACTCCGCTGGTCCCCGCCATCACCCCCAGTAAGGGGAGGCGCAGGGCTGGTCCCCATCCCAGCGCGAGACGAGCAGTGCCCTGCACTGCACAGGACCAGAGGATGCTCTAAAGGAGGATCACGTTCACGCACACGCCTTGCAGGAGGGGCAATATTAACGGTCAGATGCTTCTGGCCCAATTCATTTGAGCAAGTCTGTCGCGCTCTGAAGCCTAATCACCAGGACCGGGGTCTCAGTGTTTTCGGAGCGGTTCGGCAGCGTTGGAATGCCCTCTGCTGGCAAAATCAAAATATGCGCGTAGAAGTCCGGTGAGTGCCTCCGCGCGAGCTGCTCACGCTCAGAGTGGAAACTGCTGTAGTCTTCACTCTAGCAATCCAGGGTGCTCACTAGCTGTCCCCTAAAACAATGTGCTTCGCCTGAATTTTAAAATGCACCCTTCTACTCGCACACTAGTGCCCACTGAGATGCCCAGCCCGCAGAGGAGCAGGCTTCGAGGGCCCCCTCCCTCTACCGAAAGGGAGAGCAGCTCCAGCCTGCTCCGTTTTACAGCATGTCAATTTTAATTCGTGGAGCCGAGCGCCACAGGGAGGGGGCAGCCTGCAGGTTTAAGTGATCTGGGGCTGCAGCAGGCAGGGAGCCCGACCTGCCTTGGGGGTGCTGCCAAGATGCCTGAGACACCCGCCCCGCTCCGCCCCCAAGTGCATCAGATACCAGGACACAGGTTACAATCAGAGTCACCAACATTGCAGTTATAATCTTGAACTGACTTGATTTTCAGAGACACTCCCTGAGGAACACCAACACTGACAGCGGCTCCTAGAATACTGTGTCTGGAAATCTTCCTCTCTGCTCCGTATTCCACTATGGTCCCAAAGAAACCTGCCCTAGGATGACAAAACCAGAAAACAATACGACAAGGGCAAAGTCTCCAATTTCTCTTTTAATATCCAATTCGATTTACCACGTGTCACAGAGGAGAGGTTACCCGCCTTGTGCCCTAACTGGCGATTTTCATCAACAGGGCCTGTGCCCTAGATCGCTTTGTGCTCCAGTACAAGGGTCTCCAGGCAGGAGCACATGGGCATGGAAGAACCGCCTCCACTCCAATTCCTTTTCAACCCTGCAAGTCTAGCAAGGAGATTCCAGGGCACATGGGAAGGGGTGGGACAGTGGAGCACCCACAGGGACACACATCTGGAGGAAGTCCAGTTCCTGGGCTAGAGACTGTGGCACCACCCCCATCCTTCACAGCAATATGCGCATCTGCTATGAATATGGAATAACTAAGATGTATTTTAAAACCAACGAGGAGTCTTGTGGCACTAACAAAAATACGTATGGTAGCAAGAGCTTTAGTGGGCAAAACCCACTTCTTCAGATGAGCTGGAGTGGGGGAAAAGGGAACCCAGAATTTATAACCAGAAAAGAAGAGGGAGAGAAAAAACCCGTCACTTGCAAAGCCGGTGCTAACGAGACTAATTGAGTGGCCTCCCATACTTGGCTTTGCTGGGAACGAGGTGTTAAATGCAAGGATCGGGGGTTTGAACATGGTACATCCAGATGCAGGGAAACAGTCACATTTGCATAGAAGATCAATTCTGCTCTCTCCCTCTGTAATTGGCTTGTGAAATTCCCCTTTCTCCGCGAGGGCTCATGTGAGAGGCGCTTGGACAGTCTGGTTTACGGAATGACTGTCCCATTGCCGTGCGTGTATCACTGCGGGGTGTGAGGTTCGGAATAGTGGCCATAAACACACCTGCACTTAGCCCAGGGGAGACCGCTTGGACGGGCCATTAGGGCAGCGATGGCTAAGCCACCGGATCCAGCCCGTGGACACCCTGCCGGGACCCTGGCCGTGCAGCAGCTCCGGGTGGCTCGCCCCTCTGAGTGCGTGTGATCTGCCCGCCCACAGCTCCTATTGGCTGGAAACAACCGGCCAGTAGCTGAGAGACTGGCCTGGGGGACAGGCAGCGCAAACCTCTCCCTCTCGTGGAGCCGAGCGCCACCGGGCGGGGGCAGCCTGCAGGGTT